TTTGTAACCTTCGTGCACGTGTAATCTTCACACAGTGTTGGGTAATGTACATCTAAAATGTACTTGAAGTAAAGTACAAAGTAAATGAGACGTTATGTACTTCAAGTAGAGTAATAAGTACACTGGGTGCAATGTACTTGAAGTAAAGTACTATAAATACAGTGTACTTTCAAAGCAAAGTAGAATTATTATAACACAATATTTAATGATGCCCTTTCATTCCCCTGTACAATGATTTCTTTTTATTGGTATGCATTGCCCAGGGGTAATAAGGGGCGGACGACCTATTTTCAAAAACAGCGGCGAATATTGAATGAAGTCAAGTGGCCACAGAGTAGTTATTTTGGGGAATAAAGCCAAATTTAGAAGTCCCTCTTCTGAATTTGGTGCCGCTTGCACTATAGATTTTTGCACCCAAGGGGGTTAAATAAATGTACAAGGAGAGAGCATGACGTCAGCCCCGTAGCCTTCGCCTGCAATTCTCTCGTCGTGTCGTCTCGTTAACGAAAAAACAAACAGTAAGTGTGCAAGCGAGTTGGTGATAACTAATCATAATGTGACACCTGAGGTTGGGGTGCGAAACAATTAAGGAACTTTGAAGTTGAAGGAAAAGAGAAAAGAGTATGTCTCAAAACATTGTGACGTTCTCCTCTGTTGTCCTTTTTCTTTGACTTGAAAATTCAATTTTTCCGCACTACAGTCTCAGGTGCTACATTATGATTAATTTTGCTCTACTAATATTTTAAACCTCCTCGCTTGCGCTGACCGACCGAGAAATAGCGAGAGTTCAAAAAGCTACGGGAAAGCCGCCCCCAGAAGAAACGGAGGGATGAGTCATCAGCTCCCGTTTCTGGTCAGGGTAGAATATCCCTCCCAGTATTTATTCGGAATTGACAAAGCATCAATTCGTGATACAAATTTAAGAAAACCAAGTTTGGGGAATGTACCTTGAAGTCTGGAATTGTGCTTGCCTCAGAAAGTACCAGAAAAATATACTTTAAGTAAAGTACAAGTACATACTCAGATAATGTACTTCAAATAAAGTGCAAGTTTTTTAAACCTACTTGAAGTAGTACTTTAAGTACAATGTACTTAAAGCATTTCCCAACACTGTCTTCGCAAGAGTTTGAGTTCATTCACGCGCAAAAAAAAAACTGTTCATACTGTACTTCATGCCACTTTTACCTAGACAATGACAACAGTAAAGACTTCAAGTGCGAGCTCGCTCTTGTAAGTGCTTCGACTGAATCAGCGTTCGTGCAGCGGTAGCGCCGACCAAGGCTATCCGTTCGCGTTAATAACTTACACTACAGTCGTTCTATTTTTTTTTTTTATTATTATTTTTACGCGCGCGCGCCTTTTCCAGCTCAATGCAGTAACTTTCGTCGCATATTGTTACTACTAACACTTTATATCAGGAACCCCAACCAAACAAGCCTTCAGACACGTCTTTGAGACATAATGGAAAAATTGGTTTGCGTTTTAAAGGGTTCATGAAACGATATTTTTACTTTCTCTAAATACTACTCAGAATTACTCCCTAACGTCAAACACCGAAGAAACTTGACTCAGTTTTTCTGTCTGAGCAATGGCAGTCGGCAAATAAATGCGAGAAATATGAGCATCGTTCATCCCCTCAACGCGGAACCATAACAAGTGGCCACGTGGCCTGGTGCCTACCCTATGCCGCCAACGTTAATCATGGACACGCGCTGGAGTCGACAAAGTAGAAAACGCGTATTGAGCTCCAGGCATTCGCAGAGTTCGGCTATTCGGTGTCTCATCACTGCAGTGGTTGGGCACGGGCCACTACCCGAATGTCGGCCGAGGCATCGATTGTTACGAGCCGAAGTCGAGTACTCACGCAGTTCTCGTGTCCAATCCATGAGCCGCGGGAGGGAGATCGGTGGCCGAGTGGGCTATACTGACGCAGGCATTCAGCAAACATGCGTGGCGCCACAGGAAGTAAGCGGCTTGTCCGGGAAGTGAGCGCTTGGCAGGCTTTGTAACCCTTTCGAGTGCTGGTTCGAAAAGCGTCGAGGGCGCTAGATTTCCGCTTGTCACCTCAAGAGAGCCTGCTTGTTGCGCAGTAAGAACGCATGCAGACCCGAGAAGTATCATGGGAAGCCACTCAATGTAAACGTTTTGAGATTCTAGTTGATCAAGTGTGCATATGCCCCAAGTTTAAATGCCTCAGTCTCGGGATTTAATTCGGAGCATGATTATTAAAACCCACTCAAAGACACCTGAAAGTACGGACCAAAACATTGACTGAATGCACTAGGAATCCCAGCAGACGCCCGACTTCCGGTACAAGCATCAAACTTCCGGTGGCTCCATTTGCGCCCTGCTCGGAAAGCGGCTATGCGCCATCCAGCCAATGCTACAAGCGCGATCTCTGGGCTTTCAGCATTCCTGCCACGCACGCGCGCTCGTGCAGTGCAAGCACTGTTCAATGCCACATGCTCGCACTTGCAGCATCCGGCTGTGTCTAAATATAAACTAAAACTTTTTTTTTTTTAGCGCACGTTAGTTGGGTGCACGTGGAGCGAAAGCTCGCGCTGCAGAACCCAGGGATCCTGGGTTCAATCCCCACCCCTGCACGTTTCGATCTGGAAGAGCATCGTACCGGCGTGCGGTCGTGAATCACTACTGCGTGATACACGTTAAAGATTCTAGGCTAGCGGTTTGTGCTGCACTGGCTAAATTTCTCATTTACAGCTGGGAGACAATTCATCCGTCGAGGCAGGCTAAGTTCTACAAAAACTTGAAAGTATAAAACAGAGAGGACGAGGACGGAAACAGGACATCTTTCATTTAGCAACAACATAGAATGACACAACGATAAAACCGCCCCCCAAGGGTCTCATAACAACAGATTTGGGAGAGAAATCATTGAATCATTTGCCACGGGGACTGTAAACAACAGCATTTCTGCACCTTCATTATCATTGACAAAGCCAGAGGTCGAATTCTTAACACCAGAGATGACTAGATTACTGACACCTCGTCGTGACAGCTTTTTAAACTCTTATATTTATAGTACATTTTCCTTTTGGACTGCAAACAAGAATAATTCTGCATTATCACTGACAATGACAAAGGTCGAATTCTAAGTAATCAGAGATAACTAGATTAGGAATGCGCTTCTCAAACTTTTATATTTAGTGTATTCCCTCTCCTTTATAACTAGTATCTCCTTTCCCCCTTTAAGAACGTTGAGACCCTTGGGGGGCGGTTTTATCGTTGAGCCATTCTATGTTGTTGCTAAACGAAAGATGTCCTGTTCCCGTCCTCGTCCTCTCTGTTTTATACTTTCAAGTTTTGTATCTGTTAACCAACACGCTCGTTTTCAATTGTAGCTAAGTTCTAGGCTGTATAAACATGCATGCACCCCAAATTTCTTTTACATGAGCCGCGCTCGAATGTCGTCAGGCGAGTGGTTTCGATCCCACAATTCCGTCATCAAGCTTGGCAAAGGCAAGACTGAATGAAATATAGTCCCCCTTTATCCTCGCAATTTAACCGCGACCAAGAAGCTTCTGATTCAGTGGCGGTTCGTGCGAGTATACTTGGGCCAGACTAGGACCATCACGCCCCTGTAAAGTCAAGAACACTGCAACCCGATACCGGTCCATGACCCCTTTCATTTGGGCGTGATTGTAATAAACCGGTGAGACAAACCGGGGCGTTTAAGCTGCAACTAAAACACAATAAACGAAACAGGTGAAATAATAACTAACTCTCGGTAACTGCGAAATGGGGGGGGGGGGGGGGGGGGGGCGTTCTGAACAGGGAATACACACTAGTTAATGTCGCCACAGTGCTCTTATAGTTCGGGGTTTCTGTTTGGAACACATGGTCTAAAACCTTCGGCAGATTTTTTGGGGGAGAGCCTCGGTTTTGACGTGTACCGGAAGAATGCAGATAAAGCGGAAAGTCTGGCTCTTCCCTCCTTGGTTCTCCCAGGAGGAAAAGGGATCGTAAAAATGTCAGGACGGCTAAAGTTGTCCGTGAACGATTTTTACGATCTCGAAACTGCTCCACGAAATGGGAGGAAAGAAGAGTGAGTACTTTTACCGGAAAAAGTCTAAACTTCATTTTAATTTCAAAACCTTCTCGACTGCGTCCACTTTACGAATAGTTGGGGATCAATTTATGGATGTTAACTAAACACAAAACACGAAAAATAAACACAGCGAGGCCCAGCTACACGTGGTCAACCCTTTTCTGATAACCAAGTCCGAAGTATCCAACCCTAAATCTCTAATTTGAAGGAGACAAAAAAAAAAAAGACACCACGAGCTATGATTTACCGTGCACGCAACTTGTCAGAATGTCGCAGTCTACCATATAAACTAACCGTAGTTTTATTTCGCAAATTTTCTTACCACGTATATGTTGTCACATCACGATTCACAAAGGTTTACGCTTTACTTCTTTTGTTGTTGCTATTTTTTTTTTTTTTTTTTTTAATATTGGACGCGCGGTCGGACACCATTCCTCCCTGGAGGAGTGTTTTACCCCTTAACAGCAGGCTGAGCTGCGGCGAAGCGACGAACACAAAATCACCATGTCAATTCCGCTGTGTTAGCTTCTCTGCAGTGCCCCCCGTGCGCGGTGAGATGCGCACTCAACGGCGCTCATTACAGCGCCCGAACATACCTGGAACAGAGATTTGGCGAAACGCCTGGTTATTTCATTGTGTTCAACAGGAAGATAGAATAAAATCCTACTTTAAGCTAAGCGAAATTTATCATAACTCGCGCAAGCGTGCCGTCAAAATCAGGCAGTGTAGCAACGCCTGAATTGATGGCTTTTGTATAATGAAAAAAGAAATGGGCTTTTGGCGCCATATTGGCGCTAATTCTTCACAATTTAGTGAAATGCAGCAGGATGTAGAGGGGTAAGCATTTTGGTTGAGTTTGACACAAATGGCGCAGCTATCAGATTCCTTAAATAAAGGTCGTTTCTAATTTGTTTGTTTTTTCTTCACGCAGCGTGCGACTGTCACCCCCGTGGGAGCGTCTGGGCGGACCTGTAACCAGACGACCGGCCAGTGTCCGTGCAAGGACGGCGTAACGGGCATCACGTGCAACCGCTGCGCCAAAGGGTACCAACAGAGCCGGTCGCCCATTGCGCCCTGCATCAGTGAGTATACATAGGACCGTGTGACGCTGACGCTTCGGTGCACTTCCGGTGCAGAGCTCCGCCTTCCTGTTGAAGCCTAGAGGCCGCCATCTTAGCAGTACCAGAAGCCAGCCTATCGTGACGTGGTACTCGCTTCAGGCGTCCTCTCGCAAAACGTGCTGCAATATCTAGAGTCGTGCACCTCGCCAAAAGTGATGACGGCTCTATTCCAATAGGGCTGAAGAGCGCAAGTGTGCCGAAAACGAAGCGTAAATTATCACTACTTCGTTTTTCGTATAAACACGCAACATTACGTGAAGTGGATGTCACTTTTGTGGGAGGGGAGGAAGCATGACTGCCACACCGTCGTTGGTGCATTCGAATGAAACGCGGGAGTCAACCATGCTTGCTATATTCATGTCGCATACCTTTACATCTTCTCAGGTATACTTTTGATTCGGACGACTACAACCGCGCAATCCGGCGTCTGGCGTGCACTTTGTCGGAAAGATGGCGGCACGCTGCCATTTAGCGACGCGGGCGAGAGCGCTGGCCGTCTCCACTCCAGCCGTTGTTTACCTAACCTTTCTGGAACAGCCACTGTAGTTCTACTGTCCAGGATTTCGACCATTAGTAAGCAGGAACCACTAGAATATGAACCATAAAAATAAACGCCTTCTACGTTCTGCCACCTTGGTCTGTTGGCTGTGGAACGCATTTTAAAGGCGCGTTCAGTAGCGCCTCTTTTGCCTCCGAACGGAGTGCCTCGAGTCGGAGACATCGGAGCGCCTACTGAACGGCAAAAAAACCCGCGGCTCCAAACCTGCTTCTACGCAACTTCCGCTTCCTCCCCTGTGACAGAAGGTCTCCGAATAAACTGGAGGCAGACGATGGCGAGCACGATCGCTTTTATTTGACGCCGGTATTGAAGAAGTCTTTACAAGGTCATTGAAGAAAAAGCGGGTGATTGTACGCATCAGCGCTGCTGTTCGAAGCGATGCAACGCGATCGAGCCCTTCGCTTGGCGGTGCAAAGGCAGCTACTGTTATAAAAGCCACAAAAAACGTCGTCAGCACACGCAAAATACAGAGCTCAGCGAATCTACCCCGCCGGTTGCGATACTTTTATACGGCCATAAGTTTGTTCTGCCCTTCGTAACGAACTTCCTATAAGATGTATTCGTATAGTATTCGTATAACACGGGAAGTTCAGCCGCGCTCGGCGATCAAGGTTTTGTCGGCCGAAGCGAGCCTCAGCCAACGTGCACCCCGATTTAGCTACGCAAACAAAACATTAATCGGTATCATGCTCTGCGTGAGTGTCCAACCGGCTTCCAAAGTCACGTTCATACCCTGTTTTGCTCTGTTGAGCGCGGACAGGACTATCGTCAGTATTACCGAGTTTCCGTGCAACGGTGATCAAGACACAGCGTCAAATGAACGTTTGCGTTGTTTATTAGCATATTCAAACCAAACAAAATACGGTCCAATGCATTTTCCGAAAGAGCCTTACCTGAAAAAGATATTCGAACGCGTTATTCGTCTTACCTTGAACACTTTTCATTAACAAAAGCGAGCAAACCGCGCACCCGCGACAGAACCGAAGCAGCTTATCCCGCCATATTGTTTGTTTTTTTCCTCTTTTAGCGCCGGAAATCGTCACCATTCAGGAAATTACGCCAGTTTAGCTCCTTTGACTCTACGTGCACCGTCTCCGGACTTGGTGCTTCGGAGCTTGACTCCGAAGCCCCGGAGTTACGTGCACCGGAAGTGACTTTTGGCCGTCCAGTGGAAGGAGTCAGTGACTCCTTGACTCCGGGGCCGCTACTGAACGCGCCAATGGATACGCGTTCCGTTGGGTACGCGTTCCGTTGGGTACGCGTTCCGTTGGGTACGCGTTCCGTTGGGTACGCGTTCCAGTGGGTACGCGGTGGTGACGTCACGATCAAAGATTTCTTTTCAGCTCAGAGGCAACAAGTTATGGTTGTGCTTTACACATAGTTTGGCTCACATTATATGCCACGGCGCCGATGGGACTAAAGCATGAGCAGACATTCGTCTTTAACCATTTGAACTCAAGAGGGCGGAATCGTCAGTTTTAGATGTGGATTCTTTGCTGTCCTAACCTCTGAATCTGGATCGCAAGGACACGGCAATTCCTCCGTGGAAGCTCGGTCTTGGTAAAATAACAATCTGTTACCACAGATTTTCTTTGTGGACTTGAGCTCTCCGCGTCGTTATGCTTGTTTTATTCGCTTATCTATTTGGCCTTCCGTCAAGAGTGAAAGCTCAGAACTGAGGTCACAGACTGTCCTTCGTACAGACAGAGGACGACACAGTTACCGAGGTCTTTTGATGCTTTCGCAACTCAAACGGGTGAATAGAAGCTTAGCGAGGACATGTGCCAAGAAAAAATGGTAACGCTCCGACGCTCTTATTCGCTCACCCGTGCTCTAGCCTTCGCCTTTTGACAAGATATATGATACAAACGAAGCATGAAGAGGAGAGCAAGAAGAGAGAGACAAAAGCTGCACGAAGCGCGACCACATACGCGTTAGAAAGTTTCCCGAACACTGTATTCCGGCACGATGGTCTAGCGTTTTCCAGAACGACCGCATTCAGAGCTCACTTTAACGCCAATCAATCTAGGGGTTCTGAGGCTAACCTAAAGAAAGGCAGAGTGCCCAGACCCAATTCTCCCTTAATGACGCTCGCTAAGGTACATAGCCTGCACTGACGACAAATCAACAGCCGTTGTGAAGGACCTTATTGCTGCACGCGCACCTTCTACAGCGCACATTTCTCACCAGGCACTTTTGTTTTCTTTTGCAAAGGCACGTAGAAATGACCGTTGGTACAATGCAATGCCGTCACGTGCAAGCCATTTGTTTAGGCAGGGAGCACCAAACCAGTGTGAACACGTCTACCTCCTCATTCTATACGCAACTTTCACGGCCTATGGTGGGCGGACTAGCTTCTATCGAAATGGCTGCCATCTGGATGATCGTCTTAAAACAGCAGTACGATGTTTGGTCTGCGATGTGTGAGTATATCTAATTTTGTAAACTGCGAGCGATATATAAGAGCCCTACCTCATACTTCCACGTCAGGAAGGTGTAAGTAAGCATTGTCTATCCGAAGCCGGTCATCCACGAGCTAGGGAGCGCGTTTCTCACAACGCGGTAATACCATCGCTTAACGTTTTCCCTATCAACTGCGGCAATGGTAGGATTTACGTCTACAATTGCCGACTTTGCGGTCGTAACCTTCACAGCGGTTCAATGCAAAGTTAATTGAAAGCGAATAATAATGCGTTTTTCACAGCGCGCGGAACTGTCGAAGCTTCCATTCGTCTTTTCTGTAAATCCCTTTACCGCCCGCAACTTTTTTCTTTTTTCTTTTTTTTGCCAGAAGTTACGAGATTCGAATATTCAATTAACATTGTAGACGCTCGCTGTCCTAAGTTAGTACAGACTATAGTTTATAAATTCGAGTGCCCTGACAGTAGATACGCGTTTTGACTGTTTACCTCAAATGCGAGCGCGCCGAGTTGCCAATGGTCTCTCTACTTGCACGTATGATCCAACCATGCCAACTACTAGAGCACACTAACAGTTGATGACAGTCGAGGTTGCACACTCGCGCTTGAAGCTGGGCAGCTGGAGAGCGGATCCAAATGCGTCAGTCAGTAGCTACAACACCCCCAAAACCTAACAAAGCTTCCGGGTCAGAAAAGCAGCCCCGATAAACCCACAGCACCTAGCCCATAGACAGATGCCCCATCGGCGATCTCGAAATTCCTGAGTCCCCTCGGTCGTTGCAACAAACCAACAAGTATAAAAAAGCCAACAGAAATTCAAACCTAGAGTATCGTCACCGCCACCACTTTTCGAGGCACCACCACTCAGTCGTCCCGCACCATTACCCCCCCCCCCCCCCCCCCCCCCCCCTTTTCCTCTTCCCCTCTCCTGACCCTCACTGGAGGGTGCCGTTGAAATTTCATACTGCGTGATCTCGATTTTCGAGGCCCCGTGGCCTCGTCGCCGGTATCTTGGACTCCTTTCAACATCGCGATGGGGAGAGCCGTCTGCTCTCATTCTTCTCAACTGTCCCGCCGCCAAGTTTCACCTAAGGGAGAGCCCAAAGATATGACACGACTCCGTAAACACCTCTAAAGCTGGCCCCACCGTGAGACCTCCACCCCACCCACTCGCTCCAAGACACCCTGTCCCCTTCTCTTTCTGCCTCTGCCCTTATTATTTTTTTTTCTTCCAGTTTTTATTTTTTTAATCTCAGAAAAGCGAGGAGCAGACTCGAGATGCTCGAGGTTTTCTGGAATCGCGGTGGGGGGAAAAATTGGAATCAATCATCCGGTGCCCCGGCAAATGACAAGGCAAAATTTTTGCGGCCAAGCTGCGCGTCTTAGATGTGTCGCGCCGGCAGCGCGGTGTCTCCATCCGCGTGCTAAATGAGGCAGCAAATAGCGCGTCTGGCGCAAAGCGTCTGGTCTGGCTATCGTACTCAACGAATGTTGATCGAAGACTCTCGGTATTGCGAAACAAACTTATTGGCAGCTCACGCTGCAGAACACGCCTTCCACGAAGTGCGAACGCTGTGAATTTTCTGAACCGTATCGATCGCTGCGGCTTGCCTTAAATTAATATTTTGTTTTGTAGTTTTTTTCAAGGGTCGGGGTTCTGAGAAACGGGGGGAAAAATGTATTCCCATGAGCTGTACAATTTTGTTTTTGACGAAAAATATTTTGCGTTGCGTTCTGTGACAGAGTATGAGTGATCCTTGCGTTGCGCGGCTGACCACACGTAGTGTTAGCGGTCAAGCGCGGCTGTCAAATTAGGGGTTCTATCTTACGCAAGAAACGCGAATGAAAAAAGGCGCCTTTCTATAGTCACTGAGAAGGTGAGAACGACAGGGCGTTTCTTTCCGAAGCGGCCAGCGCCAAGCACACGTTCGCTGCCTTCCGCGGTGCTTTGGCTGCACGTGCACGCTCGAAACTCACGAGGCGCAGACGCGTTACCGCAAGAAGGCAGCTCGCGCTGGAGGCGGAAAAGCTGAAGGACCTCTGTGCCGTTTTCTTTCTGTCAATGACCATTGGCGACGTGAGCGATTGAAAGAGTCGCTGTGGTCGGCCCACGACTAGGCAAAGGATGTCTCATCGACGGAAATAAGAGGAATGCAAGAACTTTAATTTTGACGGTGTTGACAGTGTTGCTTTGATACCGCTATGATTTCAGGCTTCCAGAATGCTCATTACAAACAACATCGAGCTTGTTGTTCACAAGGTAATGACGTCACGAAAGGTAACCGAATGAGGGCGCCACCGAAGCATCTTGCCGCTAATACTCTGTGACTGCTCTCGATACCACAAACACGAGAGCACGAGGTCGCTGCATTGAAGCGTTCTTCCGCAGAACGAGCGCTCGCGCTAGATGCAGGTATCAAAGCGAGGAGCGCGGGCTGGCTCGCGCTTGTAGCTTTGGCTGTAGTCTCAGCTTAATTGGATACTGACACTCCCCAAAAATTATTTTGTATTTTTTTGCCAGGCAGTTCATTATGGTGTCAGAAGACTACCCAATCATATTTTGCTACAGCGTCACGCAGGCACGTAGTCAGGATTTTGTTTCGGGGGGGGGGGGGGGGGGGGGGGGGGGGCACCCATGACGAAATTCTGTATGAGGGGGAGGGGGGAGAGGAATTCCCAGCAAAATGGAAGATTTTTTTTTTTTTTTTTTTTTTTTTGGGGGGGGGGGGGGGGGGTCGGGTTCCATGGACCGCCCCCCTGGCTATGGGCCTGGGCGTCACGTATATTTTTAATAAAGTAAAAAAAACGCAACTGCTCGAAACCGAAACTGGACTGGGGAGGAAGAAGAAATATAAAGGAGAGAGAGAGAGGTGGACGGAAGTCACGTGGCCATGATACTTCCCCCCCCCCCCCCCCCCCCCCAAACAACGCATTTGCAGCTTTTTAGAAGCCCAAAAAAAAAGTATCATATCTCTTTTTGATTTTTAATATTTTGTGCGTGCCTTCGATGACCTACGACTTTGATTAAATTTGGTGGTTGTGTCTAAACGTTAGAAAACGGCCCGTGACCACGGAAAGGGGAGTGAGCGAAACTCAATCCGGCCAGTTCTCGATCGGCCCTTTTCGGGCGGAAAGAAACCGAATTTCGAACCGCAAATTCTGTTCTGGGTAGTTGGGCTTTCATATGTAATGTACAAATAAAAACCTTGGCGACTATAAAAACCCTGTCAGTGTCCCTTTAAGGGCGAACGGAGTTATAACAGTTCTAACTTCTACTTTCTTTTGTGTATTAGTTAAACATAGTGGCACTACCTTTCTCCATCCGTGTGCCACAGTATACGTGGCACGCATGTTGAATGTGGCACTTATGTTGAATCCTTTATTTTTATCTCCAGAAATACCCACAGTCGACCATTCCCTCATGACGTCATCCGGGTCCGGTAAGTAACACATCTATTTTTTTTAAATATATATCTCTAGTTACGAATCTGTTTTAATATGGTTAATACGCGTAGTGCCTTTGAGAGAGACAGCTGTCGGAGAAAGTCTCTGGGTAGGGGCGGGGCAGTCCTCTATGCCTCTTACTACGGCTTTCTACCTAGGCAGTTTTGACTAAGCCTGATGGGCCGTTAGGAGGCACTTGCGAGGGGAGGGTTTGTGTAAATCACTGTGACCTTACAGGCACGGAACTATTTAAAGTATTTGGTACTACAGTGAACAGTTTGAGCGGGAACGCCGGAACGCGTGGTCATCGATACATGTTGCGCCACCTCGAGGATGGGATGATAAAAAAGCGTAGTGGAGAGGGTGTGCACATCGGAGTAAACTTAACAAATGAGCGCACACTTTCGCAGCCCCTTCTCCACTCCAGGGTTTCATCAGGCTCGAAATAGCGCAGCATGTATCGAAGGCCACGCCAGGCCAAGCGCTCCGGCGTTCCCGCTCCTACTGTTCGCGATATAGTACGTCGTTTTGTCTTCACCTGCGTGACTCACCACTTCTCGCCATCTTCACAGAACAATGTGCCAAGTGCAAGACGACTACCAAGAGGATCAACCTTCGCAAGTATTGCAAACGGGACTTTGGTAAGATACGCTCATATCGGACTTCGACTCTCGAACAGTATGAAAACTCGATATCATTCTATAGCCTACGCCAACTTACAAACAAGCTCGCGTTTGCACATCTCAGCTAGATGTGGGCACTGTGCTTGCGCAGTGCCCATACTTGTGAGAAATGAAGCACAGGCGCATGCGCCGTGCCGGCGCCAGTGACACAGCATGGATGGATGGATGGATGGATGGATACGGCTGAACCCTTTTAATATTTATAAAATTTAAAAGCGCTAATAAAGACGAGGACAAAAAAGGAAGGAGAACAGGACAAGCGCTCGTCCTGTTCGCCTTTTTTTTTTTTTGTCCTCGTCTTTGTTAGTGCTTTTAGATTGTATAAGTAATGAACCGACTCGCCCGCTTCGCCACTTTAGCCCTTTTAATAGGGCGGCGGCTTGCGCCGCCTAGCCAAAGTCACTAAATCCAAGAAATGACTAATTCTTGGATTCATAAGCGCCGCTGCTAATGAACATTTAGCAGCGGTGCGACGTCAGCGCCACGCGTTTGTCTACGATAGGAAGTTTAAGCGAATCGTACACCTTGGCTGCCAATATAAAAAATAAAAAAAAAATCATATTTAACAACGGAAAAGAAAACAATCCTGTCATTCTTTTTGAACTATACTAGTCACAGACGCCGCTCGCCTGCGTGGCAACATCGCCATGATACGGCGTCGATACGTGATTGTTAATGAAACAAATAACTGTAATGACTTAAATAGCTCAGTTGTAAAAAGCAGCCGTCATTATTTCTTAGCCTACATCTTGTTTTCACGCAAGTACAACATTAGTATACAACAAAAGCTCTTAAAGGGATCATGAAACGATATCGGGTCGGAATGTTCCTGACTTCGCAGAGCCGTATACTGGTCCTAGACTGGCCCAGCTATACTTGCACAGACCGTCACCGATAAAGAAGTTTCCTTGTCGCGGTGAAATTGCGAGTATAAAAGGGGACTAGTTCCTTCAGTCTTGCCTTCGCAAAGATTGATGTCGTAATTGTGGGATCGAAACCACCCGCCTGACGACAGTCGAGCGCGGCTCAAGAATTGGACAGGAGAACTGCGTGAGCACTCGGCTTCGGCTTTTAACAATCAATGCCTCGGCGGACACTTAGGTAGTGGCTCGTATCCAACCCCTGCGGTGATGAGAATAACCCAACTCTAACAATGCCTGGAACTCAGCAAGCGTTTTCTACGTTGCCAACCCCAGCGCGTGGGCATGATTAACGTTGGCGGCATGGGACAAGCACCAGACCACGTGGCCGCTTGTTCTGGCTCCGAGTTGAGGGCATAAACGATGCGCGTATTTCTCAAATTTTTGTAGTTTTGCCATTGCCTTTCGCACTACCTAGAAAGAAACACTAAGGCAAGTTTATTTAGTTAATAACGTCATGGAGTTATTCGAAGTTGTATTTAGCGAAAGTAGAAAAATCGTTTCATGTCTCCTTTAAAGCTTTCAAGAATGATCGTACTTGCTTTAAAAACAACGAAACAAAAAGCACTCAATGTGAAATCAGCACCTCGACATACTGACTGTTGACTTATACTATAATCGTGTTGTGCGCTCGTTTACAAAGCGCGAATTAAGTCAGCCCCAAGGGACGTCTGATGACTCCGCTGTAGATGAGACATTAAGTGCAGTACCACTGGTAGCTTGGGGTCTTTAACGTGCATCACCACGTCCGTACGATGCTCATCCAGATGGAAAGGGGTGGGAGAGGGGATTGATTGTTGGCTGAACTTGTCACCACGAAATAAACAAATACCGACACTCCATTAAACCTATAGATTTTTTTTTTTTTAATTCGTCGCGCAAATAAAGTATAACTTATCCACGAACGCTCGGGAAGGAAGGCAACCTAAAATTCGTTCTATTCCGGAAAACGTTCACTGGTGTTCTGTCCAAGGTGGTATCTGCGACCCGCGATCCGTCACGTACAGCATAGGTACGTAAAAAGCAAATACACACAACACAACTTCTTGCCGCAAATTTGGGAACGGTTGCAAAAAAGAAGAAGAAGAAGTGGATTCGCCGACTCCTACTCCGTGCCTCTTTGCTAAATCGATTGGCACGGCGACCCGACGTTTCTGTATCTTGTCCTTTTTGTGGTTTTGTAATGTGGAAAACCTCGGCGCCTTATCGAATAGAACCTGTCGGGACTGCCTTTAGCGAACCTTTCGCATCTGCCATGGAACCGCTTCCGTGCTTGCATTAGGGCTGGAACCGAAGCGCGGAACAACCAGCTGAAAATCGCACGAAATTCGGAGCATGCGAAAATCCTCTTATTACTCCATTTCCAAAAGTAAAAAAAAAAGGCGAGTATTTATTGCTCGTAAATTACAAATGTTTTTCTTGAAACATATATTTGCGTTCCTCGCTAATATATATATCTATATATATATATATATATATATATATATATATAATCTCACATTAAACATGGCGGGGAATATGTTTCCCATGTTCCGACTTTCGCGCGATTTTTAATTCGTTTTTCGCGAATCCGCCTTGTATACGTATACCTATGCGGAGCGGAAACGGTTTTTGTCGTACGTGACAAAAGTGGTGTTCAGTGTGGACAAACTTCCAGCCTTTATGCTTGGCAAGCTCTCCGGGTGCACAAGGTCTAGTTCATCGGGCTTCCTGAAACTCACGACTTACACGTGCACATTGGAATCAATTTGTAGCCTGTTGCAGGTTAAGAAAATCGGGAGAAACTTTCCCCACGAATCCCTGCACTCTTTCTACTTTAAAAGGTTAAAAACGCGAACAAAACAAGAACAGTAAGGACACAGAAACGACAGGACAGGCGCTAACTCTCAAGTGATTTTATTAGAAACCATAGTCTTTTGTATACACACTCATATGCCCTACTTGCTTCACAACTAATCACCACTCTTACAAGTAACCATCCAAAAAAGTCACTCCTTTTAGATGCAGATAAAGGGAAAGCGCGCTGACGCATTTGTCATCTGTCTTTTTGATGACAAACGCTTTAGCGCGCCTTCCCTTTATCTGCTTCAAAAAGAAGTGACGCTTCTAGATGCCTGCTTGTAAGAGTGGTGATTGGTTGTGAAGCAAGTCGGGCAAATGAGTGTGTGTATACGTATTTAAGACTATGGCTTTCAATAAAATCAGTTGAGAGTTAGCGTGTCCTGTCGTCTTTGTGACTTTATTGTCCCCGTTTCGTTCGCGCTTTTAACCTTTGAACTCAGTATAAGCCAACTCGCCCAAACCCAAGATTTAATTTCTACTTTAGTAGAGTGAGCGCTGGGGAGAAAAACCCCCAATCATAGCGAGCAGAGAGCTTTGTGGGAGGGGTTTGCCCGCTTTACTTAACCTGCAATAGACTACAGTATTCGCTACACTGCAGCCGGCACTCACGGCGAATAGTTTAAGGTATTTTAAATCGCAGCAGCGATAAAATCGCGCTCAAACAAAACTCTTCAAGTGCTTCCGGTGGATTATTTGGACGGGGAAGTTAAAGAGAGATTTAACCAACACCCCCTGGATAGCAAAGGCTCATATTGCTGAATTTTTCCACATCGCCGAGCGGAAGCCAGTAAGGGCTTGGACACGAGCTCTTCCTCGGCGTTCGACTGAAACTCGTGTTCTCAGTGATTGGACACGAGTTTGAGCCGAATGCCGACGCAGCGCTCGGCGTATAAGCTGTGCCCCTTGCTGTCCTCCGCTAGATGGCGTGGAAAATTCTGCGCTCTAAATATTTTTTATCCAGGAGGTGCTGGTTAAGTTAAACTAACGTAGAATTATCAAAGCCTGTGAACGGCCTTCTCCCTAACCCCCGTACGTCATCATACTCGGACTGCAACTCAGCCATTGGGCCCGATGCTGAGCGACCTTTGACGAACTGACTGGACCCGAGGCCCAGCCCTGCACTCGACCTCGTTGTGATGACATCGAAATGCTAGGGCACGGACTTTGGTTATACCTCCCTCTCTTCCAGAATAATTGGAGCTCTATTAAGTTCTACACCCAGCAGATTCTCATAGAGATATACGTTATCCCTTCACTTCTTGCAGCGATCCAGGCGAACATCATGTCCCGGGAGACGGTGGGCAGCTGGGTCCGGTTCAACATCCAGGTCGTCGACATCTTTAAGTACGGGCCTTCCAAAGTACGGCGCGGCAACGACTTCCTCTGGGTGCCCATGGCGGACCTGGCCTGCAAGTGTCCCAAGCTCAAAGTCAAGAGCAGCTACCTCATCCTCGGTGAGCTTATCGCCGCTGGAATCCGGTCTTCAGCGCGGATAGCCGAGAGAGAGAGGAGGGGAGAGAATACTTTATTGAAATGAAGTTGATCTCCGGTCAGGGATATCCTGAGGACGTTAGGCGCTCTTGGTTTGGATGGTCCTGACGTGCTTCAGAAGTCGTGATCAGTAACCAGAACAACGTGTTCCCCTCACAAAAAAAAAAAAAAAAAAAAAAAAAAAAAAAAGGTTGCAAAAATGCACACGACGGGTTGCTGAGCGTTCAGTCTATGTCCAAATCTAGCACTAGTGGTTCGGACCAGATTCCAAAAATCAAAAGCTTCTCGTTTCTTTTTTTTTTTTTTTTTTTTTTTTTTTATATAGATTACAAGTGATTTCGCGAAACTTTCAATATTCGCTAGCGACCCGTTCCTGGTAGATGACGCCACTCATCACATTGCATTTGTGAGCTTTGTCGGTCGCCATTTGCTCACTGAAAATTTCAGAAAACCTGTTACAACTTTAAGGTAAGATAACGGCAAGCTCTGAAGCATTGGGTCCGGACCAGTAGCACTGCATCACGATCATCTGGTGGGCTAGCTGGTTGATCATTATGTGGAATTTACAGCCCAAACGCGAGAAGGATAGACCAGGGAGACAGAATAGAGCGCAGACTAACAACTGACGTTTAATGATAAACAAAAAGAAAAAAAGAACCTGAGAATGCTTTTAAAACGTGCGTAATGAAAACCCGCAGAAGCACTGCCTAAAAATGGATTGCTAAGGATACTAAGTTTTAAGTTGCTCGCGTAAAATATTTTTGAAAACGATTAAGCCTGGGAAGAAGTGCATAGAAACTCCGATAGAAAAAAAGAGGAAGTTTACGACTAAAATATTCACAGCGGCCAACGATCCTTAAAGATCGCGAATTAAAAAAAAAAAAAAAGTTTTTTTTGGTGACAAGGTTACGGACGGCGCGCTTACGCTTGTGCCTCGTTGAGCTTGCGAGTTCGTCGTTCCCCGAAACGTTTCAGGATTTTTGTTTTCCTGAACAAGGCGGAGCACTGGCAGTCCCTTAAAGGGGTACTCCACCCATTTTTGGAGCTACCTCAACTAACTATATTTTTTGACTCCCCGGCCTTTAGCCTTTCTGGTTCATAATAGGTATTGTGAAATCGGCAGATGAAAATGGTGCAAAAACCAATGTTCAAATATTCGCGCACTTTTCTGTGCCGTGACGTCAGTGGCAGGCAGGCTTGCCAGTCGAGCAACTAGTCTAGAAATAGAATATGCCAATCATTTGTTCCGTGCTGGAGCGCGGATACGGGAGCGAGCTTCCAAAGCACTCATTTGACACCAAGAAACTGCTTCAAATCCGTTGGGAACAACTTCTGTAGTCCAGAAAGTTAACCCCTGCCTTCCACTGACGTCACTTTCTTGTTGTTGCCAGTAGAGACTTTCAGTTTGAAAAACATGGTGAAGACCAAAACTGTAAATTCAATAACTTCGCGAAAAAACAATATTTTGACCTAATATTTGGGATACTATTTTAGCAATGTTTGTTGGTTAGTTTAGCAAAATTTCGAGCGAATCGGAGACAATGAAAAAAACGGTGGATTACCGTTCACACTCTTGCAACCGAGTACGACCGAGAGAGACCAGACCGGATTTTAAGCCTTTTGCGACTTTTTAGGGCCGGATGCGCGGTAGCGGAGCTGGTCCTAGGAGATCGCAAGAGGCTTAAAAACCGGTCTGGTCTCTCTCGGTCGTACTCGGTTGCAAGAGTGTGAACGGGCCTTTACATGTATGGCAAGGTGGCCTGCTGGCGACGACTTTACTGACAGGGCATGTTCTCTTAGACAATCGTTGACACACCTTCCTGTCTGGCCCACATACACTTTCCCACAAGTAAATGATATTTCCTATACGACTGCATATGGGCAATCGACGAATTTTTGTTGATGTTAACTCCGCACTCGCCCTGTTGCTGTTGCTTGTTGTTAATTTTCGGACACAACTTCTTTAGTTAGTCCGGTGCAGATAACACAACCTTGACGTGAAACTTGCATGCAATCTTCTGGGAAACGCGGTGAATGTATGGAAGCACAGCCAATCGGATATTTGTGCCCCTTTTTTTAATCTTTTGTCGTCCGCGTGAGGTGATGATGGACTCGGCGACGTCATACAAGATGGAACTTGCGTAGCTAGAATCCTGAGGACGTTGCATTTGATCATGAAAGCTCTCCCTCGCCGAGTGTACACAGGATTTCTTTAGCGCCGCATTTAGGGAGTTTTTTTTTTACAAAATTTCAAATCTTTTACGTGCGCAGCTTGAAGCTTAGCATCCTTAGCAATTCATTTTTAGGCAGTGTATGGGAGTACTCAAGCTTTAGCATGTTTTTGCGGGTTTTCATTATGTATGTTTTAAAAGCATGCTCAGGTTCTTTTTCCTCTCTCTTTATCATTAAACGTCGGTCGTTAGTCAACGCTCTATCCCGTTTCCCTCGTCTATCCTTCCTTCTCGTATTTGCGCTGTAAATTCCACACAGTAGCACTACATTTGAGCGAAGATTAAGCTTTTGGCGATGCGTAATTTACTCTTACAAATAAAAAATAAATAAATAAACTGCAATTTCTTTTGGCGAACATTAAGCCTTCATTTCTATTAATAACTCAAAAAAATTGACAGACTTGCATGGTAGGTTCTTTGCAGCATGTCCCTGGGTTCCCTCGTTGCATGGCAGGCCCTTTTATTTCTCCCGGGACGCAGTATTCCTTTATATATATATTTTTTTCTTTTTACGTAAAATTTGAATTTTTAGTTTAACGATGCCCAATGGTGTGTTCACCCCATTTCGAAGCAAATCAAGGCATGAAAAAACGGCAACATGTAACGATTCTTTGGGACAAAGCTCTCAAGCTCTCTAAAACCGCGAATTAAAAAAAAAAAAAAAAAAAAAAAAGAAGAAACACGGTCAAATTATTTTTTTGTTTGTTTTTTGATTGAATCTTGCATTGCAGACCTCTACTGAATTAGTTCTTCGATGAACACTATAAACACTTTTACTCTCGTTTATTCAGGAAACGAGGAGATCCACGACGGACAACCGGGACTGACGGCGGACAAGACCAGCATCGTCATCGACTGGAAAGAGGAGTGGGGGCGGAGACTGCGCAAGTTTCAGAGGCGACAAAGGAAAGGCAGGTGCAAGAATTGAGTGTAGCGAGGCTGAACGAGAGATGCCAGAGCGGCGGGAAAGGTTCCCCAAACACCCCAACCAGTCATATCCTATCGAGATGCTCGAATACAAACTCTCGCTTCTCGAGAGCCTAGCAGGTAGCAACAACGATACCAAACTTCTACAGTATCTGCCCAATTGAAGCAAAAAAAAAAAAAGAGTACCTGGAAAATATCGAAAATCTCGTAGGGGTCCCCCTAGCTTCAGAACAAAATTCCGATGAGAATTTTCAAGCATAAACTATGGAACAATTGAGTTTCTTGTGATGTCCGAACATCCAAACTGACTAATTAATTTGACGAATGTCCTAACTGCTCCAACGATCAAGCAGGGAGAAACATGTACACCAGACAGAGCATGCATTTGAGATTAATATATATATATATGAGCACTAACACCCGTTCCGACAACTGGATCCACTTTCCCATCTTTGCGCTTCATCTGGCTCTGCTTTCAAAAAAACACTGCTGGTGGTTGGTTGGGCTTTTTTCTTTTTTTCTTCTTGCAAAACGAGAAGCAAAAAAAAAAAAAAAAAAAAGATGCTTGTATGGCCTTTCTACTTCTTGCAGCTGCTTTATTTTTCTCGCCACGTGCTTGCTTCCGCTGCCCATGTCGCACCTGCATTCCATTTGTCGTTTATGAAGTGTGCCGGCTGTACCGATACCGGGCGATACGACGTAGAAGAGGAGGCCTGCGCATGACATCATGGCTAGTGTGTCGCCGCTGCAAGGTGCGCTGGCGGCGACGGTGGCGCGGGCTAGGCGACGCAACGTAGTTCCACTAGGGATGACGTTTTGGGAGGAAAGGCACAGGCCTTGTCTTCTACGGTGTTCCTGAGCGCTATTCGGCCGTAAAAGAAAAAAGAAATAAGTATTGTATAGTCAACCCAATGACCGGTGTGCATTGAAACTTCTCACAAATCTGTCTATGTGGTGCATTTCTCATACTCAAGTTTTGTAAATGCGAACTAAAAAACAAATTACCCCTTTCCCCCCTTTTTTTATGTAGTACAAAGGGGAAATGGTAGAAACTGTGCGCTGCTACTCGCAGATGGTACACCACACGCTCGGATCTGCTAAATCTGTTTGGGGAGTTCATCTCGAAGAAGCTTTGACGCTTTTGCACTATGTTCTGCCATCCCCGAGTAGCAGCTTCAGCCATGATTTTTACGGTTTTCCCCCCTGTGCATAGGGGGAAAAAACATAATGATTTCTTACTTAATTATTTTCCCTATACCTACAATCATAAAATTTGAGTGGAATAAATACACCACCAAGACACCTTTTCTGAAGAATTTCATTGCACTCAGCTCTTTGGTTTAATTACAAGATTGATTTTTTTTTGTTTACACCCGAGTAGAGCTTTGAAACACCTTGTAGATGGTCCTGGCTGTATTGTGTTGGCCACGTATAACCTGACTAGTCATGCGAACTGTTCATGCTCTCCTCAGGAGGCACCATTCCACACCAAACTCTGCAAAAAGGCAAGTGAAGTAACGGCAGGCAGAACATAACGCAACGCCGTTGTCTTGTACAGATGCTGTCAATTTTGTGCCTGCTTTAATTTTTTTTTTTCGGCACAGAAACGGCAATGTTATTTCTTGGATGTATTAGTAGTACTTGGAGGAATACCTTCTCTTCTGTATGTTAGATGTCATACAAAGTTCCCTAAATTCACTTGTGTGCAGAGTGAAGTTGCATATGGAGTTGTATGAATGTTCCACTCATACGTGTCTAGCGGTGTTTTAGAACTGTTGGTGCCATACAATCAATGAAACAGTCTACACAAAATACTCCTGTGTCATGACTTCTTGTATTTTTGTTTATTCCCTCAACCAGCACATACTGGCTATGATTCAAGAACGTTAATCTCAAGCTGCCAAAAAATATCGCCAAGAACATGAGACACACTCGTGTGTCCTACTGTTCAGTTTCTACCACCGGACAGAAGTCAGTTTTTGTTGACAGCTGAACTGCATGTCTCCTGTTCCCTAGTTCAATGTGTGGTGTTTGGTGCATGTGACTGTTGCAAGCCTCGAGCACGAATTTCTCTCTGTGGAACGTCCCGATACTAACAGGTTCGGTATTTTTTCCATTGGGGGAATATGCCTCTACACCAGGTAGTTTTGAACGTTGATGAACTCCTGTATAGCTGTCCATGGCTCTCTTTGCTCAACCAGGTAGCAATGGCATCTTTGATAAATTAGTAAAAATAAAAAATCGCAAGTTCTAAGAAATTTATGTTTTTTGCTTTCAGAATGGTCCGAAGAAGGCTTTGAGGAATCCACACATTTTACTCAATGTTTAATGAGTTTGCACCACAATGAAACGGTGTCATTTGAAATGATGGAGGAAGACATATTGCCATCCTGATGTTCCATTTGCACACAGAGTATGCTTTGTTAAACCAATGTTTGGGATAACACGGAGTGCTTAGTCCAGAATCAACATATGATGGTACTTAATTATTCACCATCTGTTTTTTTTTTTTTTTCCACTGAAGTACTTAAAATAATTGTATAACATCTAGAACCAAAAAAATGCACCCAAAACAACCATTGGAAAGTTGGCGACATTTTGGTAAAGGACCAAGCCTATTTCAAGCTACTCCAGAGTATAGAGCCTAGTGATGAGGCATGCAACACTATTTTTGGCATGATGGCACACTAGTGCATATTGTTTGGCTATATCAGAATCCATGCTGAAGCTAAAAAGACCAGGCACATTTGCTGCTTACATTGTCCTTCACGCTGTCTTGCAGTCACATGAAATGCCAAACAGATTGAAGATAGGAGTGCCAATTGTTAGTGTTCTTTTACAACCCTTATCAATACTCAAGGCAGGCCAGCATAAATAAGCAATATTAAAGGGATACTACAACGAAATTTCGGCGCTCATTTTTTGGTCTATATGTGTTCAAAAGAGCAGTATCACATGGAACATACCAATATCTTGTTAAAAAAGTCTCAAAAAGGAATTTTAAAACGAATTAAACGATTAGCGAAGAGCACCTGGTGGATGTCGCTAACGCCTCGTTTGTAATGCTCGTCTAGGAACCTCGACAGCTAGTGACGGAGGTCGTCTCGTCTCCGGCCACGACGAGAGAAAGGGGGAAGGAGGAACTCCCCTCTTTGTGAGAGTCCCTTTTGTGTGACCCAGAAGTCGCTATAGTCCCCCTAGAAGATTATAGAAGATTAACCCGTCACTCAAAATTCGTACAAAAGCAGTCGCTTAGGTGGCTGGAACGACTAGGCCATCCTCTCGACGTCAGCCTTGTCGTAGCTTTGCTCGTCTTGAGACGACCTACATCACGATTGCGTTGGATGTCACGTGCTCTAAGCTGGGCCTTCTCCGAGCGCTTGTCAGAGTGGGCCGTTTATAACGAAAAATACAGCCACCAGGCTCAAAATACAAACGTGCGATTGTCATTTACGGATATTGTGGATCATATTCAACCTATTTTTGAACACGACGGGAATATTGCAAATTTCGTTGAAGTATCCCTTTAAAGGATCACCTCCCTGTGCAGTAATTTAGTTTACAGTGAAATAAATGTGCAAGTGCTTCTGCGCACAAGACAACTTTCACAGTGCAATAGCAATGTACAATTTGAATGTTGCAACATGACCCACAGCAAAAAGTCATTTTGCCTTCTAGTTTTCTTGTGCATGTAGGCATTTACTCAATTTTCCCAACCGAAAGAGCTGGTCCTGCCTCTCAAAACAAAATTTGAAACTTGCAAAGACACTTCAATGTTCTCAATCTCCAAGGCTACCTGGTGCAGATGCAACATGCCATACATACGTGCTGGTCACCATCAATGCACAAAAGGCATTTTCGTGGTGACAAAGAATGTGACTTCCGCTTTTTTTAATGAATGCTGACCCCCCTGTGCTCGATGTTCTAAGTGTTCCTAAAGGCGCTGACCTTGTACACATGTTGTGAACGGGTCATCACAACGCGTGTTTTAACCGAATTCCCACACTCCACGTGACACCCGCCATAGTACCCTATGTCAATATTGTGATTTCTGAAAAAAAAAAAAAAAAAAACTGGAAAGAAAAAAAAAAAGAACCCAGAGGATTGAAATACAGTGTACCTTATTTAAGTGTTCATGATGATGTGCCATACACCTCTTTTGTACTTTTTGTCTATGTGTGTATGTATGTGTGTGTGTTTGTCATCACCGCCATGAGAAAGGCTTTTAAAGAATATACAAGTATAAAAAAACTGTGCGAGTCCATGGTGTGTGTCACTGACTCTGATGCCATGCAGTAGATAAAAATTGTGTTGTGTGTTTGTTTAGTGGAAAGTTAGTCAGCGCAAGGAGCATCTGGTCTGTCTGCCGAGAAAATCTGCAAGTGCAGAACCACTGCCTGCATAGGAACTTTAACATGCATCACGAAGTAGCGATACACAACTGCACGCCAGGAGGACGCCCATCCATATCATAACGGGCAGGGGTGGGACATACAGTACATGCTAAGTTCCATTTAAATGAGCACTTCCTGCTATAAGTTTCACACCCCAGCCACAGGGGTGTTTCAAATGGCATTAAACAAAATACCATACAGGACAGCAGTAAATCAGCCTGCGATCCAGACCATACACTTCTCTCAGCATATGCTAGTTTGCTGTTTCTTTTAACTGTCTTTAATCTCAATGCCATTTGAACTACCCATGTAGACCAGACCTTATACTGCTTTAGATAGAAAATAATGGTGTGGGGAGTAGATAGTACATGGACAGGTACCCAATATAAAAACCAGTACCCACTATAAAAACCACTTGTACAATTGCTGCAGCTTCTGAACTTAGCCACTTGTAAAATGACACAATTGTCACATTTTCTGCTGTTTATGAAATCAAATATACTAGGGTATGACAATATTTATTTTTGCTTCTACACCATCAATCGCCCCAATTGCATGTGCTCACAGGACTAAAAACAGTCATAATAACAACAATAAAACCTGTACCAAACTCGGAAACTCATGCCAAGGCTTAAACCCAAACACGAGTATACAACAGAAAAACAAAGGTAAGAGTGCACAGTGAGTACCATTATGCAAACTCTTCTGAATATTGTTTGCTTTGCATTTGCTTGATTTGTTTTAAGTACTGCTGAATCAATAAGCGCAGCTAAGCATTTTAGCTCATGTCTAGGAAATGCTCGTATGACCTTAACTCTTTCCGTACCACGCCCATAGACGATCGATCACTTGCGATTGATTATTTCCGCACAAAGCCAAAATTCAAATTCGGCATGAAGATGTTGCGCCATCTCGTGAATAGCCAAAAACTAATTTTGGTTTCAATTTTTAAACTTCGGTTACAAGCTGGCGACTTATCAGATATAGATCACTGCATGGCAGTGGATTTTGTCAAATGCGGCATCCTAATGGCTTCAGGGGCTGCTACAGATGGCCTCGTCCGCGCAAATTAACTGTGTTTGCTGCTTGTTTCTGGGATGACAGCATCAGTAGGAATTGTGGATGATGTTGGATTATTTGATTTGAGCTCCGACAGCAATGTTTTATCCCAGAGGTCCGGAATACTGATATGTGTTAGCCGAGAGCGTCGTTCCGACTTTTCAGCTGTCTTGAGCCAGGGCACATGCTTCATGTGCCATAAGCCAAAAAAACTTTAAAAGAGGAGAAACTACAAGCAGTCCTTTGACAAACTAAGGTCCTGCGCAAAAAAAGAAGTGTTCTGAAGGTCATGCATTACTGTATGCAACAGCTTCTGTGGATGGCATGGCACCACAGAAGCCAACCCCATGCAATTAATTGTTTTACACTTCAGCATTTCGCATTGCACGGCCGCACAATTGCTGGTACAGAAATTCAAAAATTGCTCGAATGTCACAATAAAAACAATCAAGTTTTGCAAAAAAGAAATTTTACGAAATGTGATGCAATGTTAATCAAGTTGCTCGTAAACAACTATAAACAAAAGCGAGCGGCAGAGCTCTCCAACATTTATCGGCCACGATTTCTCCACGAATTTGGTGGAATTCATGAAGAGACAGCGCAAAACGAAAGTGCGAATCAATCTTGTTGGTGTCAGTTGGTGTCAGTTAAAGACGTGGTCAGCGCCACTGGACACTGCTTCGGCAAAACGGCAGAAGGTATGTGCAGGACAGCAGTAAAAAGCATATGGGCAGAACAGCAGTAGACAGCGTAGCATCTCCAGAACATTCAGACAACCATGATCACTCCGTGAACAGGTCAAAAACAAAAGCGTGAATCCATATTGTTGGTGCAAAAAAGAGGCAAATTCCAAACATAGCATCAAGTAATACCTTTTGACAGGCTAGTTGATTCATGTCTAGGGAAATAAATAAACTGCACAAAGGAAGAAGACAGAGGCAGAAACAAGTATGACACATGGAGCGCAGACTTCCGACTTTATTGGGTGCAGAAACAGCAGTATAAGTAGCAGTAATCAGCTCACCACATTAAAAGGGAGATTAAAAATGACCATCTAAAAAAGCTATTTCTTTATCTGATAGTGGAAATGATTGCATGCTTATGCAGTTGTGACCTTTCTTTTTAACCCTTTAACCACCCGGCCCGAGCTGCACTCGTCATGGAAGGTTGTACCAATATTGCTGATGACGAGTCACACTCGTCCAGCCAAAATGATGGTTTGTTTTCACTGCCAAACACGATACAGGTTCGTCCATTGGCTTTAGTTTCAATTTTCAACACTGGAGGGTAGGAGAGGTCGCGCAAATATAGCGTGTTTTCGCTTTTGGCGTGTATCTAGCCTTACAACAGTGATCAGAAATGGCAGCACGCATGAGTGATGCCGGTGACGGCCCTCAGAAACGGGCTCTCTCTTGCGGCAGTTCAAACAGTGGCGACGATGAAGACATCGAATTCGTCTCTGGAAGTGAGTCGGACATGGATTTCGAATACGAAACGGACTTAGACGACGTCCACAGTGACGAAAAAGGCGACACGCTGGGTAGTGCTCGAGTGTGGCAACGCGTATACCGCATAAACACCGAAAACCCGCCGCCCGCGCCTCCGAGGTTTCCCGTTTTGTGCAGTGCCTGGGATTCTGCGGCAACCCACTGACGAAAAAGACATTCTCGGCTGGTTCGAGGTTTTCTTTTATTTGGGACCTTGTCGATTTCACTGTGACAGGGACAAACCGCTACGCGGTCCCGCATTTCGCAGCGCGGGGTTCTTTATGGAAACCGGTAGACCGCGAAGAGATGATGGTGTTCCTTGCGCTAATAATTTTGCAAGGAATCGTTGGCAAACCACAAGTTGAGATGTATTTGTTAGCGTTGGTGCGGAGAAACGTCTAGGCACTTGATCTTTTGTTACGGTGCGTATGTTCAAATAAATGCTGCGCATTTCAGCATGTGTTATTCTATACTCTTACATGCACAGAGGAAAAGCTTCCCATAAAAATCAATTTTTTTCTTTTAAAAGTTTTGTGTTAACACCAATCAGAAACCAATCAAGTAATGTATTTGCAATATCAGAACGACGTAAGCTACAATATGTGGAAATAAAATTTGGGAAAGTTTGAACATTTTTTTCGATTGGTGGTTAAAGGGTTAATGAAGTAGGCTTCCACAAGTTTTCTTTCCGATGCTTCCTTTGCTCTTGCAAGAACATGTCCTTTGCAAATCAGGGTAGCAACTAACTTATTTACAATGCAGTGGCAGATTGCCGCTCGAGTTGTTTTCTATTGACAGAAAGAGTTCGCAAGCCCTCAAGTTGAAAAATCGCCCAGACTTGCCAATGTGCACTCGCCCGCAAGAAAGCGGTATTTCATAAATAACACCTGAAGCGCATTCCATTTAGCGGTTGCTGTGCTCCTTTTTGCCTTTTTGTGTGCTCACTTTGGGCTTCATCATAGGGCACACTTTATAGAGTTTGCAAGGTGCCGAAAACACAAGGGAGACACTGCATCTGGCAGCCACTTCTTTCCAGTTATGGGAAAGGCCATGATGGTACGGAATTACTTGCATGGGCATTTTTTTCTTTTTGCCTCTGCTGTTTGGAACCGGTTTTTAGCCTCTGTAGAAGGCGTTCACATACAGCAGAGACCAAGTGCTGGGGGCACCCTGCAGCAGTAAGGCGGCCACACTGAAGTTGGAAACTGGTTGCCATTTCATCTACACAGGATTTTTCTAAAGCTGAGGTACAGCCTGACATAATGATAGCTCTCATAACAAGCTTTGAGTGGGCACTGTCATAGGGCAACAGGCCCTCCTTGGACCTGAGATGGTATGACCAACAGATGTGGTTGTCAGTGAATGTTAGTTTTAGGTCTAAAACTGAGTGGAACTGCTTACGGTCCCTTCATGGGTAAAATTGAGGCCATCGGATGCTGAGATGAAGCTAATAGAATGCTAGAAACAGCATGATCAGTGCAATATCTAGAAGGACAAGGTAGTCATCCACATACCTAAAAACACGCATTATATGCTGATCGCAAAAGCAGTTGTTGCAAGCGCCTGTCGAAAAAAGGCAGATATATATCACAAAACATGGGTGCAACCGCAGATCCAATACAATAGCCGGTCTCTCGAACATAGAAGCTCTCCTCGTCCAACATCACCGTAGAGCTCAAGTAAAATCGAAGCAATTCAAGGAGACTTTCGGTGCTAGCGCCACTTGCATTCTGAAAACTAATTTCACCTAATTCCGCAATGCTCGTCTTAATCAAAAGTCAAAGTTGGGGGTTTTACGGGCCAAACCTACGACGGGCAACTGGCACGCCCCAGCGGAGGACTGAGGATTAATTTGGACCACCTGGGGATCTTTTGACGTGCAACCGAAAGCTCGGTGACACGGCGCCTTGTCTGCAATAAGCCTCCGTCAGATTGCGGGCACCTCGGCCGGGATTCAAACCCGCCACATGGGGATCCGTAGGCCAGCGCTCTCGCCTCGGAGCCACCGAGGCGGCTCGCAATGCTCGTCTTGACGGCACTGAACAAGCCCTTGTTTTGCACAGAATAGAAAAGGTCCTGAATGTCCACTGAGAAAGCAGTCTTTGCCGAAAGAAAACCACTCTACAACTCACGAACCACCTCACTGGAACTTCAAACCAGGAAAGAATCCGCTCCCACAAACTTGTTTAGATGGCCCTGGAGGCCTTGAATGACCCAATGACTTTTTGCCAACTTCCCTTTTCGGAAACAATCACGCAAAGGGGGCATTCAGGTTTGTGGGTTTTCCCTGTGAAGAATTCCTCCAGATGGTTAACTTCTGTTTTCTTGACAGTCTTGCCCAGTGCCTCTAAGTTCTGGTCCTTCAGGAGCCTTAAAGCTAGCTTCTTTTGTTTTACAGGACAAAAATCTGTTGCTTTTTAACTGCTTCCGTGGCTTTTTTGTCAAACATCTCCAAAGGCAAGACGGCAAAGCCGCCTTCCTTGTCTGCCTGCATAATAGTGAGACCACTGTCTTTAAGGAATGTCACTACTTTTTTTGAAGGGAGGCTTCTTCAATAAAAAAATAACCCGGGCGACCATCTGCCACTGCTTTGTAATAAGTGTGGCTGCTACCCTGATTTACGAAAGATACGTGTTGTCGCAAGAGCAAAGGAAGTAACAGAAAGAAAACTCATGGAAGCCTAGCTACTTCATTAAAAAGAAAGCTCAGGACTGCATAAGCATGCACTCAGTTTCACTATCAGATAAAGAAATAGCTATTTGGATGGCCACGAATCTCCCTCTTATCATGACGAGCTTAGTATTACTGCTACTTCTACTGCTGTGCCTCTGCCAAATAAACAGTTGAAAGTCTGTGCTCCGTGTGTCATACTTGTTAGTGCCTCTGTCCTTGTCCTTTGTGCAGTTAATTTATTTGCCTCATTATAGCCTCGATTTAGCTTCCCCATTGCAAACAACATGCATAGGATTTTGTGTCGAGGCTACAGGGGAAATTATAGTGGCAGTGATTTGGTTCGTGGTAGCGGTAACATGGCCGTTAAAAAGGAAAAATAAAATCAAGCAATGAGTTGTATTTTGTTAAGATTTTCAGTCACTGTTATACACTCAAATGCCAGTCCACTGAAGAATGTAGAAGTGACTGGGCTTGTTCAAAATTTCGACGTGCTAAAAGTCGGTCACCCACTGCATATGAGCAGAAAGGAACAATGTGAAGCCAACTGAGCAGATGACTATCCCACTGCCCCAACTAGGAGCCAACACTGAAGAGAATTGTACATCACAGCTGCTACAAAAATAATTTATTTCCCCAGGTTCGTTTTTCTGGCAATTACATCGACCCTTCAATGGGCGCCTTAAAAATCTTGGGTAGCTTCATAAACGTGCATATGCCACACTAATAGATTAGCTTGTATAATATGTACAAAATAATATAAAGGCTTTGTGGTAGTCCCAACAACAAATTTCTTTGCAGGCCATACCCTAGAAACAAAGAAAAAAGCAGTATTTCAGAGGTAACTTCAGTACTGAGCCGCAACATATACATTTTAAGTGAATAATGTGAGCATAAAAATGATGTAACTATATATATATAGCATGTATGTTAGAAATGGTTTCATTATTTACCTGACCGGCACGCAATCAAAATGCCGCAGCAATGACGACGATGGCAACCATCAAAACGAGAATGGCAACCCAGTACCCTGAAATGCATAAGAGCGACATGGTCATAAAACAGGCCCAGCAAAATAGGTTTTACTATCACAAGTGCGTGGAAATTTGTACCAGTTTTGCGGTCAGCCTACAATAGCAGGGCAGCTGCAGCAGAAAGTCACAATCAAATCACGATTAGTAGCTTAAGTAAGCGACTGACCACATTATTGAAAGGGAGGCTGCATGCAAACATATGTGGCTATTTTTACTTATGATGTGCTACAACTGCAATGTTGATGGGCCCATGAATAATATGCATGATTATGGCAAACTCTGGTGCATACTGTTCTTCGCTTACCAGGTACCCTTTCTGCTTTCAGGAGAGATACAGTTGTGCACAAAAAATGGGCGATTGCCATAAAACGTGACACTGCCCAACATATCACCATAATGAAACCTACAAAGTTATGTGCACAGGATATAAAAGGTTTGTGAAGGATTAACATAGACTACATAGCACATGATAACTATGAATGTGGACTCGTCAACTTAGCCATAAAGATATGCCATCATTGCGGGCATTGAGGTAGGAAGCATCTGGGGGCAACATGACACCACCAAAGGAGAAGCCAGGGAAGACTTCCGGGTTTGAGTGACAGGCCCCCTATGATGACCAAAACAAAAAAAAACGCTATTGGACGGACTTGGGCACCCTTTGGGGCATTTCTATCAACCACAGCTTCTACCTCCGACTTCACTTGGGATTTTCTCGTTCTACGTCGCCTCTTCTTATTCCTACCTCCATGATTGCGAGTGATGAAGGCTCGAGGAAGCTTTTAGTGCCAACTGTCTAGCATTGCCATCACTTCTGCTTGCTTGACTTCACGGCAGCATAGAAAGCTTTAACTTTGCCGATCAAGAAGTGGGCTCTGCCACAGTTCACCCCAGGTCACTCCATCCCAGGACAGTTCATCTCGGACACTTCAAACCAAAGACATCTTATTCCAAGATGTTTTATCCCAATACCTTTCATCCCAGGAACATTGTATACCACAACATTTCATGCCAGCAGAACTTGTGCAGTATCTACAGGGTGCGGCCATAAAAACTTTCACATTTGGCACGCCTAGCAAAAATCGAATATCAAACATACATACCTGAAATTGAGCACACGAACGTCGTTTATTCCAAAGTTTTCTGCCTATTTTTTTCAGACGTCAACTCGGGAGTAGCGAATTATTAGAAAAATAACAAAAATGGCAGACGTGCATTTCCTATGGCCTATACCCGCCTGTTTGCCGTCGGCTATCTGGTTCGCGACGCCGCTCCCAGGTGGCGCACTGAACGCAAAAACGCGGGAAGCGCCACACGAAAGGCTGGTGTCGGGTGAGATAATTGCGATAAAAAGTGATTTAAGCGAAATATATGAACGATAGTTGAAATTACCTGTTTCAAGTCAAGCTCTGACAAATCGTCATGCAAGTAAGAAGACACCATGATGCGACGAGATCATTTATTTACTGCCTGGAATAGCAAGTGGTGCTGCTACCGTTGCAGACAAGTTCGTTTTGAGTTATCATTTTATTGTGATTTTTACAGGGCCGCTGTAACACATAAAGTAATTTTTTTTCATACAGCTTGGGTATAATTAACACACATGTCGCAAGACATTTTTGGAAAAAAAAAAGAAATCATATTAATTGGAGCAATATTTACGGCGCTGGAGTCATTTCAGATGGCCGGTGATAAAATGGCTGGTATTTGAGAGAGATAGTCGTCTCTTAGCTGGTTTCCCATTGGTACCTCTATCAGCAGCCTCTACTTTGCTCTTCGCGTTCGGCAAGCAGCACGAGAGAAAGTAAGAGGAAAACTAATAGTTTAAATTCCGTCAGGAAGTGGAAGTTGTGCGTTCATTCAATAGTTTATTCTAAAAAAAAATACATCTTCTCATACTCCTCTTCTGTCACGGCGATTTGAAATAATGTTGATGCTGCAGCGGCCCTTTAAACGACTAAGGTTCGGCCGATTCGATGTGCCCGCCATTCACAGACTCGCAAAGCCGAAGCCGAGCTTCGTACGCCAGGAAAGCCCTTTCGCGCATCCCATCGTCGATCTCGAGGAACGCGCCCTCAATTTTTTCTTTCAGCTCTTCGATGCTGGGGATCCTCTTCTTGTAGACAAGTCCTTTTATAAATCCCCATACGAAAATGTCGCACATATTTAAGTAGGGGGATAGTGGAGGCCAGTCCATATAATCTGATCCCCGACCCATCCACCGCTGAGGAAACCTGTTATTGAGCCATGCCCTCACACTCTTTGCGTAATAAGGAGCCGCCCCATCCTGCATGAATATACAGTTTTCTTTTGTCATGTGGTACCTTTCAAGCTCAGGGAGCATTTCCGTTTTCAGCATGTCCAAGTAGGCATCTGCGTTAACGGTGCCATCGAAAAAAAAGGGGCCCACTATGCCTTCACGCCAAATCCCACTCCACACTGTTACCTTCGGTAAATGGAGATGCCGTTCGTCCACTGCATGAGGGTTATTGCGAGCCCATATCCTGCTGTTCTGGCGGTTCACACGTCCATCTAGGTGAAAGTTTGCTTCGTCACTAAATAAAAGAAATTGCAGGTGCCTCGGGTTGCTTTTAATTCGCAACAACTCCGCCTTGCAAAATTCTAAACGTTGGACGTTGTCGCCGTTTTGCAGGGCTTGGACAACTTGCATCTTGCACGGGCGCAAATTATTTTTCCGCAGGATCCGTCGTACGCTTTTTTCCGAAATTCCAAACAACCTGGCTGCTCGTCTTGTTGACAATTGCGGGTCGCTCTCGAAGACAGCAAGCACCTCTTGAATGAGCTCCTCATTTTTGAGCAGGCTCTCACGTTCACTGACTGGATTCGTCTTTTTAAAGTCTTCTCCACTCATAAAACGATTTGCCCAAGTCAAAATAGACGGGCGTGAAGGCGGGCGTTTTTGAAATGCAGTGCGAAATTTTCGCTGTGCTGTGGTCACCGAGTTCCGCTCCACGTACCACTTGACTGCCTGGGTACACTCACTTGCCGAGTATTGCGGCATTGCAGGGCGGCGCGGAAATATTTTGATAATAACTGCAGAAGATAGTGCAACAAAAACAATAAATAGGAACAATCAAGATGCCTCAGGGGCGGCACTCTTGATTCCAAAGTGGAGCTTTCACCGGGAACGGAGCTGTCAACAAATAAGCAGACGAGAAAGGAGGACACACATTCGTCTGCTTTAGAACATATTTTTATTAAACGAGGGCGTCCGCCAGTTTCTAAATGCCAAGTAAAAGGGAAAATCATTCACATATTTCGGTCAAATCACTTTTTATTGCAATTATCTCGCTCGACGCCAGCCTTTCGTGCAGCGTTTCCCGCGTTTCTGCGTTCAGTGCGCCACCTGGGAGCGGCGTCGCGAATTAGATAGCAGACGGCGAACGGGCGGGTATAGGCCATAGGAAATGCACGTCTGCCATTTTTGTTATCTTTCTAATAATTCAATACTCCTGAGTTGCCGTCTGGAAAAAATAGGCAAAAAAACTTTGGAATAAACGACGTTCGTGTGCCCAGTTTCAGGTATGTACATTTGAAATTCGATTTTTACTAGGCGTCCCAAATGTGAAAGTTTTTACTGCCGCACCCTGTAGAGCCATTTCGCAGCATACTCACTTCATTTCCGGTCATTGTATCCCAGAGAATTAATTCCGTAAACTTCATACCAATGCCTGTCCATCCCAAGACGTGTCGTATCACGATACCTCAACGCAGAGATTGTGAACAATGAACCTCTCAACGTAGCTTGTTACTCGCAATTTCGCTCATCATGCTGTGGTTCTATGGAGACATGCGCGACCAAAAGCGTCCCTATGGTCAGCTTCCTACGATCAGTCAACCGCTCACTATAACGTCTTCAGTGGAATTAGTTCAGCTTTCGTTTACTGAAATAAGAGTAATGTCAGACGGTCAACTTTGATGGTGTTGGTTTAAGAAAACCATGAATCCAAGCTTCCACCATTCTTTTTATACTCATCATCAATCTTGTAGTTCGCCACAAATGTTAAGTACCCAAGATCACAACTCGTGACATCACAGCGAGGCACATCCTGGTCGTGACATCAGAGACGAAAGTCATAAGAGGGCATCACCGAAACATCTCGGTACTAAATTCGTTTTATAGCCCGTGTGTATGCTGGACGTTTCGTTTCTACATGCATTATATTAAAGTGCTGTGCCATATAAGGCCTTCGTGCATGGTCTGTACACTCATGGCATCACTAATGTCACTGGATCCTGGGAAAGTAGAGCCAAACTCCCCGTGTGGTTGCTATTTTGGTTCATGGAATGAGCAGTTTCTCCCCGACCTCTCCATTCTTGGTGAATCTATCCAAATTTGCGGTGACAGGTTACTTTATAAAGATGTTTCTTGTATTCCAGAATTTTGTTATCCGCACACCGGAGAAAAAGGTGCACATCTTCACGCCGCCAGAACATGCAGCGTCAGTGCTTGGCGCCATTGAAAAATCATTTTCCTGACTTGACATAGGTAAGAAAGAACAATATCACTGTAAGAGGTCCGTGGAGATAAGAATGATTGACAAATTGATTGCATACAGACACCAAAGACACTCACTCCCTAGCGATCTTGGCGTGGCTGGTTCAGAACTACCCTTTTGAAGCTTCGAAGATTTGAAAGGACCAAAATGGCCATTGCCATGACAACAGAGACCGACCTTGGGAGGTTTCAATCATTTGTATGTTGGTATCTGTCTTGTTAGCAGGCAGGGAAGACAATAGAGTTACTTTCCCAGGATCCAGGGACTTTACAATCAACTTCTCCGGGATGGAATGACGTTGGCATGAGAAATCTGAGATAACTGCCTTGAGAAGAGGTATTGTGAAATGAGGTACTAAATATCTGGGTATAAAACGTCCATGGGGTGCAGTTTTTTGGGATGAAACGTCTTGAGATGAGACTTAGGTGTGGAATGTCTGGTATGAACTGTTCAGGGATGAAGTGGCCCGCGTGAAATTATTGGTAACTGCGGCCAAACTGCTGCTCTCTAGGAGACCATTGGGCGCGGAGGTACCTGCACTCCATACTGTGCTATAAGAGGTGCCTGTTGTACCACTGTAATTTATGGAACATTTATGCTTGAGTGCGATCAAGTACACTGCAACTGCCTCCGACTGTTTACGACGAGAGAACATACTAGCGTCATCTACGAGGTGGTTTCATGGAACGCCTTTTCACTTCCATAACGTTGAGGAGCGGCGTCCGACCCCCTCCCCACTAGTTTGGGTGCAGACGCTTAGTAATTGGCGTCGTTCTTGGTGTTGGTGAAACGCACAAGCATGGTGAGTGGCTTAGTCACTTACAGAGCAAAGTATAAGTACCACAAGTGACTTATTTGGTGTTGCAAAAACTAACGCTTACTGTGCGTCTTCCTTATGGAGTCGCTCCTAGCGACATCGATGGAGGCCAGTTTTGCTGCCGACAGGTCGACTTTTCAATCTCTGGCCTGTCTTTTAAGTCTAAATCAAGACTGGTACGTATGAAAATCAAGTGCCAGACAACGCTCTTTTATGTTCCCGACTACCCTGGCCGGTGTGGTTAATCACGACGCAAGATGGCTTGAGTGAGTCAGAAAATGCTGCCTCTGCACATAGGAAGACATAGGGCAAAATGCTAATCAAGATGGCATCCGGCGATATTTTGAGCTAGAAGTAGGTCGCGTGAAACTGCCCATGAAGTGGCCCTGAAACATCTCCGACCAGCACGTATTTTATGCATCATTCGTTTGCTGTGTGCTCGAAATAATTCTGACAATGTTTTATACGCAACTATTTCTCCTAGATTGTGCATAGATTTTATTTAGCAAAGGCTACAAACCCTTCAGTCTAACTATACAAGGTATTTGAGCAACTTCCAGCCACCGTGATGGGAGGTGAAAGATAGCTCCAGTTCTCCTACGTTTACCTTGTGTTTGGGTGGGTGCACGGCGACTCTTGGTTCACTAGCGAACAATTGTGCAAGAGTAACGGTCTAGAAATGCACAAGTGTCGTGCTTTCGAGTGGCCGACACGCAACCAGCATGAACAAAATGCCATAAGTGGAACTTCTTTTGATTTTCTTGACACGAGGGATGGCATAGACGCTGCTGAGCTTGGGCAATCAGAGGATGCGGTGCCATGACCTCAGAGATTTTTATTGTGCAAAGTCATCCATCCTCCAGTCCTTCCTAACGCTCGACTGTCCAACAAAACGAGCGTATAGCACGGTTTCTCCATGACTCCGCAAGGTGGGGCGAGTTTGGGGCCACACCAACATCCCAAAGGTACAATTTGAGCATACAACAACAAAAAAATGAAAGCCATTTACAACTCCCTCTAACGCCGAATTGGAGTGCAGCTCTTGAGGAGGAGGGAAGGGTACTGAGGGGAGGGCATACCCCTCCTCCCTCCTCCTCCCTCGTGATCCTGCCTGCTACTCCTCCTCCCATCCTCCTCCACCACCCCTCCTTCTACTTCACCTCCTCCTCATCCTTCAACTTCCTCCCCTTGCCCCCTCCTCTATCCTCCCCCTCCTCCTCCACCTCCCTCCTACTGCTGTCCTCCTTGCCACTCAAACCGGAAACGGCCGCCTAAGAACTGTGCTCTGAAATATAAAATCACCCCCCAGGTCACGTGACCCCGGGGGGGTCACGTGATCCCTATGTCACGTGACCTGGGGGGTCACGTGACCTTACGGTTACAGCAAAGGCGACGCCGCTCAAGCTGGAAACGGGCGCCTAAGAGCTGCGCTCGAAAAGTGACAAAAAGAAAGGTGGTTGTTCCTGCTTGTTATAACCTGGTGTGCATTTATTCTCAGTTTTTCCTGGTTTAAAAGGGCAACCCTAGGATTGCTAAGTACCGTTTTATTCACAGCTGACCTTTTTTTTTTTTTTTGGAAATGTCAAAAGTTAAGAGAGGGTCGACCTACAATCGCGACTAGAGAAATTCGACCTACATTATTGACAAAATTTTGCGACCGCACCGAGCGCAGAGCTAACGAGTCACCGAGCCGGCGTCGCATTGGCATCGCACCGCTTCTTGTTTCAGAAAGCTTTTGGCGCATGAAAATAACCGAAACAACAGCAACCGGCGGGCCGCCGCTCGCGCGCATCCCTCTGGCGTCGAGTTTTGCACTTTACGTGGCTGCCACGGCCAGCGCCACCCACGCATGCCCCTCGCAACACAAGGGGGGAAGGGGAAAGCGACGCACCAAGCACCTTCATCCCTCTCCCCCTCGCAGACGCATAGAAAAAAAAATGCTGAGGTTTCACTTCTTGTTCCTCACGGCGGCTCGCTCGCAGTGTTGCCGTTGCTCGCGGCGGCTAGCGGTGGCTCGCAGCGGTACTCGCGTCTTTATATTTGGCCTTTCGTCGCTTCGCCCACCTCCACCTTCTTTTGTTTCTTGTCGTCATCATTTTGCAACGGTGTCAGAGAAGTACTGTTATGAATTTGTGAATATGACAACAAAGCTGATGAAGCTTCCGACTACAATGACATGTCCGGAACAGGTGGCTCAAATAGGTAGTCATGAAGATGCACCCACACCACCTTTGGCAGTTTTGTCATTTCTTTGAGGAACAAGTGCTTATTCTCCTCACCCAAGGGATTAGGAAGGCATGTCGATCCAGTATAAGTAAATTTCTGGAGGTACCGCAATATTTCCTCGGCAACGAGACCTTCAAAGCAAGTGCCACTCATTGCGGGTCCTCAAAAAGAATGGCGAACCAAAAGCGACATACTCCCCTCGGAAGTTTGATCGTGTTTGTTTTTGTTTATCATTGAATACCTTGTATGTGCAGACTGGAACTGTTCCAGCGCTATGTGATAAATGGTGTGCCAGTGTGTTGTCTCCTCGAGCACATGCACTCAAACACACTCAAATACAGATGTGTTAATCAGATTTTGTACTACCGTATTTACTCGAGTAATAGCCGCACTAATTATGAGCAAGACCCTTCTGTCCACTTTCCCATAGAACAAATATACAGCCAATCATCACGTTGCGCATAAATAGCATAGCGAATAACCAAATACAGAACATGATTCTCCATACAAATGGAATCTTCACGGATGGTATCTTTGCGCGAAGACGTTTTCTCTGTCCTGTAAGCCGCTGGGATCATGCTGCAGATCGCAATGATTGGCAGGCCGTGTGCTCCGCGGAAAAGCGAACCCTTGCGCTTTCTTCATGAACAGTGCGGCTATCACTCGAGTAAATACGGTATGTGGATTGCATTAGCCTCATCATTGTTGGATAAAGGTGTATGTGTGTTCTAAATGCTAAAACTAGGATCTTCAGCTGCTTTTACAACCCCTGCCATACTTAGGACAACGAAGAATGTTTACTCTCTTCTACAACCCATCGAGTGCCATTGGCTTTCAACGGCTACAATAACAAGTGTTCCTCCAATAACCAATGGCTTCTACTGTGAATCCAGGAAGAGGCACTGCACGCACTCTTGGAAACATTTCCATAGCCACCGATGGAGTGGTGCAGGGTTTGCCTGAAATCTGCGGCACACCAAAACGAGTACTCACAACAGGTGCCGGACTTCCTGTCCACTATCTGCACGTTCTTCGTCTCGCGGAGAAGGCGGTCCCTCATTCGGTCAGTGTGGTCCGCAATGTCGTCTATGATTTCTGGAAAAGTAAACAGCAGACATTGCAGTTTCTGTCACACTGCCGTAAAGCATACCCTCCTCAGTAAAATGCTGCGGGATTTCTGAATCCCCAATGCCGACAGGTAAAAGGCACAAAGCGTAAAACAAGACTAACTGAATGGGATAAAAACTCAAAGCCATGGACAGGGCTTTGAATGGCTATTGAAATATGAGTCCTGTCTGCTATACACATTTGGCTTATTGGATTTACCTGTACCTTTTGCACCGGTGCAAAGAAGTGTAGGGCAGTGTACTTCCGGTACGTATATTGAGATACGACTGGAAGTACACATTGCCCTACACTTTTCTACACTATGACAAAGTTATTCATCCCTCAAGAATGTTGTTTATTTTTTTGAACTATTTAGATAGCACATAATACCTAAAAAAAAAATTAAATTTGTTCAGCATGTTGAAAAATGGCACACAGAGATAAGGATATGAGAGGAAGAAACACAGAACACAGACAGTCTCTTTGTGCACAATTTTAGGGGTGAAGCTCCTTAGGGTCTAGCCTTGTCCATCCATCTGGCGTCCGTGCTCACATCAATTGCACTGCCTCCGGGATCGGCCCACTTTTAAAAAAAAAGATGTACGCCCGAACGGGGGTTCGAACTCAGGACTGCTTGCTTACGAGGCAGACGCCTTAACCACTACGCTACACTACGCTGCTCAACGTCTATACAAGAGAGGGCGCTGCGGTCAAATGCATATATAATCATGTTAAACTTTGCACGCATTGGCTCAACGTTTATAGACGAGAGGGCGCTGCGGTCAAATGCTCAACTGCGTATATAACCACGATCCATACCACACATTCGCTTTCTGACATGGACCGTTGACTTAAGCGGTGGAGATGCGTTCCCACGGCTTCTAGCAGATCCAAGCTGATCCGATAGAACAGGGGTTCTACCGTATACACGCGTGTAAGGGCCGCACCCGTGTACGGGCCGCACCCCATTTCTCTGAACTACATATTCGAAAAGAAAAGGGCCGCACTTACACCTTCGTTGACCAATACGCATTCAAAATGCGTGCCCGCATGCTAGCTTCTAAGCGTTGTCGATAGATGGCGCCATCCGTATCGGCATTTGCATTGTTTGCATCACCAACTTGTGCAGTTCAGCCAGTTCAGCCGGCCATTTGCTGGAGTTGTGCATGCCGTGTTGTCTCTCATGTTTGCTTGTCTTCTACCGAGCGTTTACGTTGTGGCACAATGGGCAAGTACCTGAATAGCTACACGGCTGGCTACAAGTTAAAGGTGATCAAGTTTGCTCTCGAGAACGAGAAACGTGCCGCCGGCAGGAAATTCGACGTCAACGAAAAGTGTGTTCGACGATGGTGCGCTCAAAAGGAAGCTTTGGAAAACACCAACAGCAAAAAGCGCGCTTTCCGAGGAAAGCCATGCAAGTTTCCGGAACTGGAAGAAGACTTGTTCCGCTATGTGACTGAAGTGCGGAACGATGGTTTTGCACTCACAACGGACATGCTGCGCGTGAAGGCACTAGCATTGGCACGTGCGAGGAACATACCGGCCGGGACTTTCAAGGCTAGTGCTGGCTGGGCGCGAAGGTTTCTGAAAAGGAAGGGTCTCTCCTTTCGACGAAGAACCACGTTGAGCCAGCGGCTGCCAGAAGACTACAACGACAAGGTGCTTAGTTTTCATAAGTGCGTCATTGGCCTTCACCATGAACATAATTATCAACTTTCGCAAATAGGAAACGCTGATCAAACTCCTGTATGGTTTGACAGTCCGGAGAACTACACAGTCGAACTGAAAGGCAAGAAGAGCGTCGCCGTGCGGACCACCGGCGCTGAGCGCCAACGCTGCACTGTGATGCTTTGTGTGACTGCGGATGGGCGTAAGTTACTCCCGTACGTTGTGTTGAAAAGGAAGAGGATTCCCAGCGAAGTGTTCCCCAAGGGAATCATAGTGCGAGCCCAAGAAAAGGGGTGGATGAATGATGACTTGGTGCTCGACTGGGTGAAATGTGTTTGGCAAAACCGACCGGGAGCGTTGTTGGCCAAACGGTCACTTTTAGTGTTTGACAGCTTCCGCGGTCACCTTACTGATAAGGTGAAGGAACAGCTGCGCCGTGTCGGCACAGACATGGCCGTGATTCCGGGCGGCCTCACTGGAATGCTGCAGCCGTTCGACGTCAGCATAAATCAACCTTTTAAGGTTGAATTCCGAGGGCTCTACACTGAATGGATGGCAAGCGGCAGCCATGAGCAGACGCCGACCGGACGGCTGAAGAGGGCACCGCTTGCGACTGTTCTCGGTTGGATCCTGTCAGCGTGGAGCTCGGTATCGACGGACGTTGTATCCCGAAGCTTTAAGGTCACCGGTATATCCAACAGCTTGGATGGTACTGAAGACGACTGCTTGTGAGAGGACGATGATGCGCAACAGACCACCTCGGACTCCGAGTCTGAGGACTCGTTGAGCGACGACGATTAAGCACATTTGCCGTGTACTGCAATAAACGTTCTTCGTTCGCTATCTGGTACATTCTTTTTACTTTATAAATTGCACGTCGCGTGTATGAGCCGCACCCTAAAAATTGGTCCTCATTTCTTGAAAAAAAAGTGTGGCCCTTACACGCGTGCATACGGTATAACTTTTTGGTCTCACGGAACACCAGCAAGCCTCAAAAACTGCCACGGAACACTGCTCCCGCCCCCCCCCTCCTCTATATTTGCCGACCGAGAAGCAACAGATGCACAATTATAGGCAATTATGCTCGTGTTGCTTCCCATATATCCCCACCATATCAATTGCGATGTCAGTACAAAGTGAGATGAAGGCGCTTTGCATGGTCCTGCCGTGCAGCCTGCGGCGGGGGAGGGGGAGGGGGGATTGGGGAAAGGGGGGGGTGGCAATTTGGGTGTTCGCGGAACCCATGAAACCAGCTCGTGGAACCCCTGTGTTCCCCGGAACCCAGTTTGAGAACCCCTGCGCTAGGAGAACCACTGGCCCTTCATTTCACCGACCACAAAGCGGTAATAATGAAGTCGAAACACAACCCAGAACTCAGCACTACCTATGAGCAATGAAAAAAAAATCAGCACCATCAGCACTACCTATGAACAATAAAATAAGTATCATCCTCACCACCATAACTTCGCCCCAATCAACATCATTCACCACGTGGAGATGCGGCCTCTTTTTCATCATGTTTACTGTTTGCCAACTCACCCAGCTTAACACTTTAAGTTTGTTTATCCAACAAAAAAGGTCTCTATTGTGGACTATTAGGCAGGGGTCACATGAGCGATAAAACGGGTGCCGCGCGGCAGCTTCCATAGGAAATTGCGCGGATGCTGTGGTGTGGACCTATGTCATGCCGCCACATCACAGCGTCCGTGCAAGCTGCTAAGGAAACTGCTGTGTGGTACCTGTTTTAATCGCTCACGTTTCCTCTTCTTTAGCCTTGTCGAGTGCGCTTCTTACCGAGCACCGGTGCACTGCGGAAAAGCAACACCCACGAAAGTGAGCTTCGCTTGCGTTGCTTCCCCGCAGTGCACCGGTGCTCGGAAAGAAGCGTGCCAAACAGGGCCGCGAGAACAAAAAGTATGAGTTGCACAAAAACACTGCTCAAATTAGTAAGTGGCTTATTTATAAGTACATTAAAAACAAAGTGGGACAACCAAAATTTTAAAGTTTGTTTGAATTAACCAGGAGTATAAAATATCCGAGTGAATTATCACGAGCCTACTGTAGGTCGTATGCACACGACACAAGACATTTTAGTACCATTAAATCATGAGCCAGCGCTCACTAAAAATTTGGAGATAATCATGCAAAAAAGGGAGATAGGTGCTTCTTAGCTCAGCAATATGGTAAGATATGTCTTTTGCATGTTTTCTCAATGTTACAAAATTGAGGGGTGGGCCCTTATTGTGGAATGCTCGGTATTGTATGGTAGGAACATATTTTCTATTCAGTCCCAATGTTTCCCTGAAATTTCCCTAGGGACTTGTTTTTGATTTAGTATAGGTAGCAGAAACTTTTGCTACCTGCAGTCTGAATGAGCAGTCCTTTTCAGCCTCGAAAAACGATGCAGGTTGGCTGGGACATGAATGGACAAATAACAAGTAGAGAAGAGTGCCTTCACCAGACAACAAGTTTCATGCAACTGCTTCACAGACTCACTGGACAAGACCAAGCCAGTAATGGTGAAGCAAAGATTCTCTTAACTGAGTTTCACAAACATATACACACTAACAACACAGCTTAAAACGTATACATGTGGGTATATAAGTAAACAAGCAGAAAAAAAAGAAACGGCTTTACATTTTTAAGAAATATGTCAATGAAAAAGTGAGTTGGGAGAGTGAGAAACATCTTTTACCATTCGTTGCTTAGCAGTGGTTCATAGAATAGGGTCTGGCGCTGGTAAACAAGGCTTAATTATAAACAACATCTCATCTTCATAGACAGCTCTTTTGTTCGCTCTTGACTCTTGCACAGTGTTTTTTTTTTTTTTTTTTTGGCTCAGTCAAACACTGTTAAATTACATCACTTACCCAAGTCGATCACAGCAACTAAAACTTTTCCCTTGGCATGGCAAAAAAGCACAGAGATACTGCGGGATGCCAAGCCATACCAAACCGACAGCGCAAACTATTTTTTTGCAACTCCTTTCTATTGCTGTAGCCAAGATCAAAATCTTTTCTTGCGAAAAAAAACTTGGCAAGTACAGTCAACTTCCGATAATTTGAAGTCACTTGATTGGAATTGTCAGTTAATTGGAAGTGAAGTGAAGGTCCCACCAGTTCTGCATGCAATCCTTTGGAAAAAAATGCTCGGTAATTGGAAGCGAAAAGTTTAAAAATTTAGATAACTAGAAGTCGATTTTCAATCGAAAGCCTCGAGGCAACCGTAATATTTGATAAATTTCCAAGTTTTAAAGTGCAAAAACAGCTTTGTGTACCACACTGGTATCCTCGGCATCCCAGCCGACCACAGCGCCACAG